AGCGATTTTGGACAATGTTACCTGTAACCACTGGGACTGGTCGTTGTGGCCGGAGGTCCAGGCGTTGACTTTGCCTTGCTTGTCCAGCCGAGCTTTCCTGGGCTCCCAGGTGAACATGTCCATGTTGAGAGTTCGGAAGATGCTGGAGGCAGTGATCTGATAGTCTTGTATATGTCCTGATTTCATCCCTAGAGGCTCAGAACAGCCTGAAAGAAAATGAGAACAGCTCCCTGAGAAAAATAATTTATCACCCTGAAACTTTTCCACATTCATTTTGGAGAAGCAAGAAAAGATTAAATATAATGTTATTCATTCCTCCAAAGACAGAGCATCTAAATTCAAAAAAAAAAAAAAAAGAAAGAAAGAAAGAAAGAAAAAAAACAACAGCTATAATCAGAAACAGATCTGGAACAAAATCGAAAAACAAGATAGCCAATTCAGGCTATTTTGTCTGAATATATTTTGGAAAAATTGAAAACAAGACAGACAATTCAAACTACTTTTCCGTGATAGATGATTTTGCAAAATGAAAACAATGCTGTAATGCTCTCTCCTGTCTCATTACTGGAAGCCTCATGACTATTTCCTAGTTTTCAACAGTTTTATCGTGCCTTTAAAAATGAGACGTTTTCTTACAAAGTATATTTGGTTTTCTTTGATTTGTTTTCATAATGCTGCAAATGAAAATTCCCTCAGTACAAAGTCATTTCACAAAGTGCTCCTATATAAACTGGACAGCATTTTCTTTCCTAAAAAATATCTGTTACTAATGATCCTTGTAGCACTGACATGGCTTCATCTGGAAGGAAGGAATCTAATATTTACTCTTTGTATACAATGTGCCAAGGCATTGTGCAAGTGTAGAATTTAAACACATAGATAAGATGATGGAACAAAATAAGCACATTCTGGCAAAAGACATTATTAGATAAATCTTATAAATACTTATATTTCAATCATATTCAATAACTTCTCATGCCTGGATATTTTTGCAAGATTCTTAAACATACCAATGTATTTTCAAGTTTGATACAGTTGCAGATGTCAGTTTGCCATCCTTGAAAAAAACTGTGTGTGTATGTACATATATGATTTCTCATCTTGAGTCCCAACTATGACAAAATTTCACTTAAAAATTTTGTAGTAGGAAAAATTATTATATCATTAGCTAATCTTCCATATGCAAAACTGTTATATTTTACAAAACAAAACATACACAATGTAAGTTTGATCATCAATGGAATAAAAGAGACATTTCTATCCGTATACACATTATCCTGTCTACCAGTTCCCCATCACCCGTTGTGTGGTCTTGTACTTGTTATTTAACAACTAAGTGCTTCAGTTTCTTTATGTGTAAAATGGTGATAATAATAAAAGCTATATCTAAGAAGCGTTCTAAAAAATTAGTTAATAAATATGAACTACTTAGAAACTCTGCTTACATATAGCGAGCATTCAATAAGTGTTACTTTAAAAAAAATTTCCATAAAGTTCATTTCAACAGTGTTAAGTCCATAAATATCAGCATATCAGTTATTACTAAAGAATATCCTAGGTGTGGGTGACATTTCTAAAATGAAGCCATTTCGGTTCTACATTCTAAGAGAGGTGGTGTAAAATTTTTCTTTGAAAATTAATTAATTTAATTTATTTTTTTTTGCCATAGGGCACATATGCTCACCAGAGAGAGACAGAGAAAGAAAGTGAGAAATTACTCCCTAAGGAGGGTGGCCATGCCACAATCCTTTCTCCTCCATTATCCTCTCAGGATTTTGGGCATGCCTGCTCATGTGACTAGTGTGATTTTTCAAGCTGCCAGGTCTTGGACTTGAACTGTGATAAGCCACGTGGGAAGTCAGCACCTTAACCACCATGTCACCTGTTGGCCCTGACAAATAATTCTTCTAATGAACATATATTAGTTATATACATTCATGAAGTACAATGTGAATCTTCTGAGAATACAATGCTAAGTGATTGGAACAGGGTAATTAGTATACTCATCCTCTGAAGCATTTGTCATTACGTTATACTAGAAACATACAAAGTCCTCTTTTCATAAATAAATCTTAATTACAAGAAATTGTCAACCTGGACCACTTTTGCCTTCACCGTCTAGGAAATGTCTAGTCTTTCACAAAAAGTGAGATGGAGGGCTATGAGCTTTACCAAATGCAAATCTCGTTTAGTTCCAGGTAGGCAACATATATCCTAAAATAGCTCTAAAATCTAAATGTAAATTCTCATTTGGAAAATGTCATAACAAATCTCAGAGGTTCTAGAAAATTCTAATAGCCATAATGGCATGCCATTTTTCTTCAGGCAGTTCTAAGGTAAGTTTGATCACTAATGGCATAAAAGAGACTTTTCTATACCTACTAACTTATTTTCATTCTTTACTGGTTCTCAACTCTGCATTATATCATTATTATCAGTCATTCTCTGCATTTTAGACGTCTCACAAGTTCTATCTCCAGCCCCAAATAATGAATCCACTGACCAAATCTTTGCAAACTTTGCTTACTTTGCAGAGAAATATAAGGGGAAACAAAAGGTGGTTGTTTTTTTTTTTTTATTTTTGTTATAAAATAATACTGAAGTATTGGATAGAAACAATATTTTACTTTGACAGTTTATTTCAGCATAGTTCATATCCACTCTGTTGTCTAAGACTTAACCCTGAAGAAGGGCTAAATAATTATTTGTTCAAAGAATAAATGAATATTTCTCCTTATGGGTGTGACCTAATTTATTCTAAACATCTTACGTCAGATTTCTTCCAGATAATTTAGAAAATGTTCTTTTTAAATGTGTGGAAGAGATTAACTAATGATCTTCTAGGAAAACTAAAAGATCTTGAAACCATTTATTGGGTATGATAACATGGCCTTGAGCTTTATAGCGTTGCACTAGGTTGTGGGAAATAGTTTGGCCCGTCATATTCATGTTTATTTCCAAGACTTACAGTTAACCTCTCTGCCAATTTGCCTCATGCCACAAATATCCTTTCTCATCCATATAATTTCATGCATATAAATTAATTAAGTCTGATACCAGCATGGACAGCAACTGAACAAAATAAAACATTAACAACGGAATCGATTATTTCCACAGTGAAGTGCAGGCACTTTAAAAAGGATCCACTGAGAGATATACTCTCTGCACGCAAGTTCAAAATCAATCTGTCGGGTTGGGAGATGGGGCATGGCTTTTTTTTTTTTTTTTTTTTTTTTAAATAAACCCTATAAAGTACCAGGTATATTCTCCTGTCAAACTTGAAAGTAAAATATATTCACATCTTAGGGGTGTAACTGTGCCATGCATAAGAGGCTGACCCTCATGAATCAAAAAAATGACAAATTGGAGCAGGTGATGTTAAGCAACTCAAAACCACCAGGCTTGCAGCAGGCCTCATCGTGGTGTGGCTTCCTCTCGATTGCTTTATGATAAATGGCTTGGGAGCGACACTGGCCTTGGTGATAGAGTGATACACAATACAAATACTGTCCAGCAATAACTCTGCTAAGATTTACTGGCAGTCAATAAGACTGTCTGGATTATCAAAATAAGGAAAAGATTGCTGTTAAGATCATTAACAGTACTAAAAACGCTATGCTGGTCGCTTCACAAAAGACCAAATATGAAAATACAGAATATGAAAACATGATTCTTAAAGCAGGTTTACTCATCTGGCCGAATCACTCCAATTTCTTTAAGTGAAATGGGCATATAAAAACTTGGTTATTTTTTAATAGTAACTTTTGTTGTATTTGCTCAAGAATCACTTCCTTTCTAGGTACTACAAATGAATCTAAGAAGGAAATTGATATGAAGTGTATGGTTCAACTGACAGGAAACCTCTTGAAGTGAATAAAGAGCACACAGGTCTTTGCAGAGATGTGCCCTTCTTATTTTTAACTAAATGGTATTTTCTTTGTTTATTTGTTTTAAATTTGTCATGGGGGGAGCACTCACTAGAGAGAGACAGAGAAACAGAAAGACAGAGGGAAGAGAAAAAAAGCCCTCTCCAATGGAGCGTGACCACCCCATAACATTGTTACTCCATCTCTCCATCCTATTGGAATTTGGGGCATGCACACACATGCACTGTGTATGTTTGTCAAGCTGTTTGGTCTGGGGTTTCAACTGTGGTTGGTCATGTAGGGTTTGGCTCCTTAAATGCTAGGTAACAGATCTGGAACCTGAATGATATTGTATTCAGTTTCAAATAAATTTTTTCCACGGGGACCAACAGTTAACATAATGGCTATGTCACTAAACTCCCATGTAGCCAACCGCGGTTCGCGTCCCGGACCCGGTGGCTTAAATTCACGCTGGGTGCGTGTGCGTGCGTGTCCAAGATCCCAAGAGGAGAATGGAGGAGAACGGATTGTGGCGTGGCCATCCCCCCTGGGGGATGATTTCTCGCTTTCTATCTCTCTGTCTCTCTCTGTCTTTCTGGTGAGCGCACACGCCCTATAGCAAAAACCTCTAAAAAAATAAAGATTTTTCCATATTTATAGGTTACTCTAGAAAGCAGAGTGCACAAAACGTTTTTCTTTGCAGATGTTTGGGCAAAATAATTTTAGACCAATTTTACAAATATAATTTATAAATTCTGATCTTAGAAATATAAGAATCACCAACACAAATTTAACACAGTGAAATTCCTAGACAAGATTTTCTATTTAATAAAGAATCTTGCTGTATTGAAACAGGACCATGTAAGATCCACATATGAAGTGTTCATCTTTGTATCTAGTATTGATGCACAAGCAAGGTAAGAATTACTTAACTCTCACTGCTTTGACAGATTATCCTGGAGCTGGATAACCATTATTGTACAATGAGCAGATTGCTAGCTAAAAATTATCTCAGAATGGATTTATAGTACCAATCTTGGTATTGAAACATTGTTCTTTTGGGAGGAATGATACATTTACATATTTCCTAAGACAAAAAAAAATAAAACAAAAAGCACATCAAGTTTTTATGTAAATGGTCAGATACACAGCTTCCTTTTCTGTGCCGTATCACCTAAACTCGATCGCAGTTTATAGGGTCAGGCAGGTTCCAGCATTAACATAATCAGAGATAGTACCCAAACAATGAGATATTTAAATCTGGTAAGAATTTTCTCAGAGAATTCTTTTTACTTTCCTCAGCCATTCAACACAGCACATTACTCTTTCTACATTAATTCTGCTCTGTAGATGTTTTAAAATGTGTTCCTCCTACACACAAACACAGTTCCTCAGTGAACCGTGCCCTTGTTATTTTGTAGCAGAAAGGAGTTTCTATGGATGTTGAAAAGTTGCAAGTTAGTAGCAGACATACAAATAGGCTTCTTAAAAAAAAAAAAAAAAAAAAAAAAAAAAAGAGGAGAAAAAGAGACAATATAAGGCTCACCTGATAGTTCACAGCCGAGAAGTTCCATTCGCAAAGTGCAATGCCTTCGACAAACTTGGGGATAGAGTCTTACATACTGAGCTTTGATGGGAGGTGTGAAAGAATTAGCATAGGGTGTATTGTTGTCAACATTTCCGCGGAACACCTGTGTAAAGACATAAGGCACCGCACCGTAAAGTGATTAATTGCAATAGCTTCTTCACCTATTTGTACATCACAACTTTATACTTTAGTCAGTATAATCCTTCATTAAATAATTTGGGGGCCTGGAGCATTTAGAAAGCACCTTGCCAAGAGCATTGAATATAAAACCCATGGATAAAATCCTAATTAGAGCTATAAACCACAGTGGCCTATGGCAGAATCTATGCTCCACTATGATGGTCTTGTCAATTTTAAGACCAGTCCTTCAGAGGCAGGGGAGTGCTTCTTTCTGTTTTTTAGAAATAAGCTCCATAAATCCTTCAGCTAAATCTGGGTCTGTCTGTCTGTTCATTTTGCTACTTAATATTTATACTTTTGTTGGTAGGAACCTAGTTCACCAATGCTTGCTGAATATTCAGTGTCTCTAATGCTATGGTCAGATTTATGATGCTTTAGAGTCTGATTCAAGATGACATCTTTACTAACTGGTCCCAGATCACTGGATAAGAGGCCAATAATCCCTTCTATATTTATCTCCAGTGAAAAACTTTTTTCCCCTAAAAATCATGTATTAAAATGTGTCATTTTTAATTCATTTGAGCCTCATTCTTATTTTACCTTTTTTTTTGTGATCTGGTAATCAAAAAACCTTATTCAAATTCATTTTAGAGGGTAATTTTTAATATCTCATAAAATTTATTAGAGTCTAGTCTAATGCTTGGTTTTACGTGGGATGGTTTTCAGTGCTGATATTGTTAAATTAAAACATTTGAGAAAGTATTAATAAAGGAATCGGGAATGTAATAAAGACAGAAGAGATACTGAATATTATATCCATTTGCTCTAAACTATTTTATTGTGCTAAATAAAAAATATTTTTCTAACATGACATATATAAAGATATACATCTTTTATGCCACTTGATGCTTTTCTTACTTTTAAAATAATAGTTGTAATCAGTAGTTATTTAAGGAAAGTGCTAATCTGTAAGAGCAATAAAAATGAAATTGAAAGCCAATGACTGCTAAAATAAAGTTTATCAGACACAAGATTTGATAACTTTGCTACAAAGTATTTGTAGGACCACCAATTTAAATCTGAGACAGACACCGGCATGGTGGTTAAACTGGCTGGATCCTACAGGTCGACTGTGCAATTAAGAGTCCCAGATCTGACGACCTGAAAAGCATGCTAGGTGTGTGTGCACATGTGTGCCGAAAGCCCAACAGGAGAACTGGGGAGAAGGGATTGTGGCATGGCCATCCACCTGGGGAGTGATTTCTCACTTTCTCTCTCTGTCTTTCACAAGTGAAGATGCCCTCTGGCAAAACTAAATAAATAAAATAAAATCGGAGAAAATCTTAGATAGCAGTCACTGTAAATGTATAACTTGGAAAAACTCCTATTGTTTTCATCCCACTAGTCCAATCAAAACTAAGAGGCATCAAAAATTTACTTTCAACAACAAAAGGCTTCTTTCTGAAGACTCAGTTGTCCTTTGATAGCCAATGTTTAACCGATGGAATTTTACATTTATTTATTTATTTGTTTATTTATTTATTTATTTATTTACATAGGTAAGTAGATAGGTAGGTAGGTAGAGATTTCTGCTATAGTGTGCATATACTCACTAGGGAGACAGAGACAGAGAGACAGACAGAAAGTGAGAAATCAACCCCCAGGAGGGATGGCCATGCCACATAGCCCTTCTTCATTCTCCTCTTGAGATTTTAGGCATGCACGCACATGCCCCTAGTGTGAAGTTTAATCAGCGTGAACCTCCTGCTGGTTCTGAGACTTGAACTGCGGTTGACTACATGAGATTCCAGCAACCTAACCATTACGACATCTGCTGGTCCTAGAATTTTACTTTTAAATGAAATGTCTTAAGTCGGTCTTACCATGTCTTCATTGGTTCCTTTCACTTTGTACATGGCCCAAGTCTTTCCATCATTGCTGTAGGCAATTTTGTAAGATTTTATGTACTCTGGGCTTCCAATCCTCTTGGCTCCTTGAGTAATCACACCAGTAACTCTCATTTTTCTTTGCAAATTTATCTAAAGAGACAAAACACAATCATCAATAATCTCATTGCTTAGGTAAATTGGCACATTACTACACAAGAGGATTATCCTTTAGAATCTTATGGATGACATTCTTTTTCTCTTTTAAATCTGAGGTTCTTTCTTCATAGCCTAAACCTTCCCAATACATACAACACAAACACTGGACACCCTGAATCATGTTTCTGCCCATTTTGGAAGCCAAGTTTCACATTCAATATTGTTGAACATTCCTTTTTCAATTATCTTTTATCTCATTTCAATTATCTTGTTTATACCTCTTGTAGACGGCCAAATTATCTCTGCTAGGGTTTTGGCTGACGAGCTAAACGCTAATTTTCTAAAGCTTAACTTGTCAACAAGTAACAACATCAAACCCACAAAGCTGTTTTCATGCATCTCTCCAAATCATTAGCAATGGTGTTTTTTAAAAGATTCCTATTTGCTCCAATATTTAAGTTCTGAATATATATATTTTAGCGAGATGGAATTTCAGATAGTCAAGTATTACCAAGTATGGGTTGTTTCTACTTTTACTAGATATTTGTAATTAACTATCAGTGCTATTTTCATTAAATACAAAGTAACAATTAAAAGATGATTTACACTTCTGGGATCACTAAGCTTCAGTAATTACAAAGTTTTAAACATCTGACTTCCATGTGTCTAGCACTATGAGATTTGGATGATAAGGGATTCAGTATTAAAAGGCTAGGATTTCACCATCAGCATCATCTTCAAATTTAATACTAGGAACCCATATTGCTGTAAGAAATAACCTCAACCTTAGAAGAAGGCTATAACATGATTTTAGAAACATCCGCACTACAAAAACCTCCTACAAAGAATCCACTTTCATCCCATCCCAACGTTATTTTGTGATCTCTTTGTACAATAACAAAGGCTAAAAGGTCACTTTAGGCTTCTTGTAGCTGTATGCACCACTCCAGAGACTACATTAAAGGTACACTGGGATTGTATTGGGAGTTTTAAAATTACTTTCTGTGAACTTGATGGATGCTAGGATATGCAATAAAATATTTTCATTTATGTGTCTGGTTTCAGAGAAACTATTGTTCCACTGGCTAGTACACTGTATGACCTAAAAAGAAAAAAGAAATGTATTCTAAGGCATTTTAAGTCCCTTTCATGAATGTTAGTATGAAGAAAAACAGTCTGATCTAGAATGCTCGAATTTATGCTAAGGCCAGATTTGAGGCAGAAAAGGATGGACAGATTTCAGTTCTGGTTTTCTCACTTCCTTTCTACATAATCTTGGACAGTTTTTCTAAGTCTTTTACAATTTAATTTCTTCCCTTATAAAAGGGCTTTCCATAGAATTACTTTACGGAAAGATTATATGATATATGTATTTGAAAAAATTAACATCACCTAGAAAGCTTTTACAGTTGCCTTTTGGTTTGATTTATAATTTGTGTGTGTTTCCTTTTTTTTTTTAATTAAAAGGAGCATTTCCTTTTGTCTTCTTCTCTAACTACTTCCTGTGAAGGAATGTGGAATTAGAGAGATGCATTTCTAAGACCTGACCATATGAAGAACACTTTGTAAACAACTTTCCAAGCTAAAATTAGTAAGACTTTAGGGTTACGAGGATTAAGTGAATGTATGGGGCCCAGCCATGGTTGCTCACCCTAAGACAAAGTGTTCAGCAGATTAAGACCACCTGGGAGGCCCAGGTTAGAGTCCTGTTCCAACCTAAAGGGTGGGCATGGTGGTGCACAGTTGTCATCCAAGAGACTTGGAGGACCATGACATGGCCAGACACTGCCTTAAAACAATTTAAAAAAATAAAAAAAGGTGTGTGCAAATCTGTCCATTAGCTTCAACATGGGGGAAGGAAATTAATGAGCTCCTGACAAGATAGCAACTAGCATGGGCCATATGCGGAACCCAGCACTAAAGATCCTCTGAGACAAATATTTACTAAACAGGCTCTGAGCTTTATCAATCTTAATATAAAAACAAAACAAAACCCAAAACCCAAAACCCAAAAACCATGGGGCCTGTTAGTATATTGGGAGCTGTTGAGATCCCAGTGTGTGCCTGGAATGTATAGAGAACTCCAAGGGTGGACGATGACCTTGGGCTTGGGAAGAACTTTCTAGATGTGCCATTTCTCATTCTCATTTTCATTTTGCTTGTCTCGACCTTTCCTGATCAACCCAGTTCCAGCTGCTAGCAGTCAGAAACAGTAATAAAATGTGGGGCCAGGCTGGAAGGGAGCCTGTCGTCACTAGCAGGCCTGCATGCTTTCCCTGTGTAATTCACATCCCTAGTTCACAGACTAAGAAGGAAAAACAAGAGAAATCCTGGTACGAGCAGTGTCTGGGACAGGTGGAGGCTTTTGCAGGGAGAGCAGAGCACTGTGTTGAGCTGACTGTCGTGAGATGCCCCCTTTGCCCCAACTCGGTCCACTTGGTAGAATTGAAGCTAGAGCGTGGGTCTCTCCCTTCCCAGAGGCCCCTTAGTGACCAGATATTAATAATGAACTCTCTGGGGACCAGCAGTTAGCGTAATGGCTATGTTGCTGGACTCCCACGTAGTCGACCAGGGTTTGCGTCCCGGACCCGGTGGCTTAAAACTCACGCCGGGCGCGTGTGCGTGCGTGCCCAAGATCCCAAGAGGAGAATGGAGAAGGGATTGCAGCATGAGCTTCCCCCCTGGGGGGTTATTTCTCGCGTTCTGTCTCTCTGTCTCTCTTTGTCTGTCTGGTGAGTGCACGTGCCCTATAGCGAAAATCTCTCAAAAAAATAAAAATAAAACAAAACGACAAAACGAAACAAAACAAAAAACAAAGCAAAACACAGAACCACCATTAAAAGAAACTATTCTAAGAGAACAGACAAGTCAAAACTTAAAAATAGAAACAAAATTCTCTGAAAAGATAAAGGTTTTGAAACATTAAACAGAAACCTTTAAAAGGTTTTGAAACATTAGTACACACAGACACACACACCAATTGGAGATGATAATTATGAAAAATAACAATGTCTAAATAAATTCCCAATGGAGTGGCTTCAATAGCAAGGAAGCAAGAGATATAGGTGAAGAATAAACCGAGGAGTAGCAAGAAAGGGTTATAAAACTCTGTCTAGAAGGCAAGATTGTAGGGTATAGAGATTGCCTACATTGACAGTAAAAAACATTTTACTGAAAACCAAGAGAAACAATAAATAATAAAAATAAATGAAAAAGTTCTGCAAAGTTTCTTAATGTAAAATCAGCATATAACCAGTCTATACCAACAACTATCTACTAATAATGTAACATAATAATTAAGATTGTGTGCTCTCAGCCCATGGAGAGACAGACAAATAAGTAGAACAGAGCAGGAAATAAATGAACAGATCCCAGAATGTACGGAGCTTTTGTGTATGAAATAAATAATATTTAAGTCAGTGGAGGAAAACAGAGCATTAAAATAACTGTGTTAAGACAATTTGGCAAACATCTTCAATAAATAAATTTACATCAATATCTGTCACCTTATATAAGAATGAATTCCAGCTAAATTGAACACTTAAATGAAAAAAAACAAAACAAAACAAAACGAAAACCAGATTAAAAAAACACAAAATAATCTGAAGAAAATATAAAATTAAAAATAATCTGGTTGGTCAGTAGTGTGGTGGTTAAGGCCGCTGGATTCCACATGGCCAACTGCACAGTTCGAGTCCCAGACAGGGTGGCTTGAAATACATGTCAGAGCGTGTGTGTGCATTCTAAAGATTCTGAAAGGAGAGAGTAATGGAGGAAAAAGGATCGTGGTGTCACCATTCCTCTTGGGAGAGTGGCTTTGTCACCCCCCCTCCCTGTCTCACTGGTGAGCTCACATACCCAATAGCAAATTAAAACAAGAAAACTGAGATGAAAATGATTTTCTATTCATGATGCTAGATTTAGAAATGATTTTAAACATTTCTGCAACCCCAAAAGCAAAACAAATCAAAATACAAATGACAAATAAGGACTAAAAGTCTATAAATCATATCATATTAAATAAATTAGGAGAGCTTACATATTTATAGGTAAAACAGAAATAGCCCAATATAATAGACAAAATGGGATTCACATGGATTCCAAACATGTGAAAAGATACTCAACCTTACTTGGAGTAGAAATTAAATGAACTCTATTCTGACTTCTAATTAACCTACCACGAGCAAAAATCAAAATGTTTGATCACACAATATTAGCAGTAGTGTAGAAATAGGCTCGCTTATGCTTTGTGGGTGGGAATATAACTGACACGGTCTTTGTGAAGGACAACTTGGTTACATGAAACAAAATGACAAATGAATATTCCCTTTAATTCAGCCATTGTGTGCTAAGAATGCAGCCTACAAGTCTAAGCACTCACAGGTAAGTTGATGTAGGTACAGAGTTGTTCCCTGCAGCACTGTATACAATAGAACACTATTTCAAACAATTTAAAATGTCTATCAACAGCAGTCCAAGCCATTTCATTATGGAATAGTACAGAAAATACGATACTGTTCAGTTGTAAAAGAAAAGACCGGGAATGAGGGAAGGAATGGGAAGGGGAAGGAAAGGATGGAAAGAGAGAGAAAGAGGTTTCTTGGCATAATGATATAAAAAGATCACTTCAGCAACAGGACGACATATTGCATATGCCCCCAAATTTTAAAAAGTTAAAGATTTTGCTTTAACCAATAATATCACAGAAAAAAAAAAAAACCTCGAAGAAAGGTGACAGCTGAAAGAATATATTATAATGTCAAAAATTGATGGGGAGGGTTGGGGTCAACAAGTGGCATGGCGGTTAAGGCACTGGACTCCTGCAGGGCTGACCACAGTTCGAGTCCTAGACCTGTGGCTTGCTTTTCAGTCTTCCCCCACTCTGTCTCTCTCTAGTGAGCACATGTGCCCTATAGCAAACTAAAAAATAATAATAAAAAATTAAATAATTCTTATAAAAGATTGATAGAGAGGGCTGGCCTCATAGCATCATA